GTTAGAACTAAAGAAGTAAAGTTAGAACTAAAGAAGTAAAGTTAGAAATAAAGAAGTAAAGTTAGAATTAAAGAATTAAAGTTAGAATTAAAGAAGTTGTTTTCTTCCTAACTGTAAGGACCTTTAGACATGAAGTGTATGCCGCAGGGACAAAGGTTATTTCATGATAGCTGTGTGCAGAAAACATTCCTGTTTGTCAGTTTGCATCATTCAGGATAAACTTTGTTCAGATTAATAAACAAATGTTGCCATGTAGAGTTCACAAAGTCCCGCTAAAAGTCCAACAAATAATTTCAGGACGTGTCTTTATTTAAACGAGTCTTGTTTATTTCCACATAAAGACACTTCCTCTAAAAGAGTCGCGAGTTGTTTTACTGGTACTGACTGGTCCAGCTGCTGGTTTTATTCCTCCATTTTGACGCAGAAACACAAACAGCTGAAACCGAGAAGAATCTCTTTGACTCGATCTGTTCACAAAATAAAAACCTCTGAGGAGTCTGGATTCAACATTTACTACTTTTACAGGATTTATAAAGTGTCCGACCTTATTTCTAACACAAACATGAACGAGCTTAAAGCAGAAAACACGCACATTCTGCGCACTTACCATAACAGAGAAGAGTAGTTCGAAGAACCTCGGAAATGAGAGTTTCCAGGAGCAACAAGTCCAGAAAATTCAAACAAATGAACAGAAACCTTCATATCGTGTTGAGACCTGAGAGCAGAGTCCTGGTTTGAAGGAGGAGCTCCACCCACACAAGTTCAGCTGTCACAACCTTTAGCTGTTATCTTAGCTGAATAAAATAAATATCTGATTTCTGTTTTGTTCAGATTTTAATTTTATATAAACTAAAACAGCTTTATGTCGCTGTATGTACAAAGACAGACTTTGAAACATCTTTTAACTTTTTATTTTTTATCCCCTGAGAGCAGAACTAAAATACTGAACCAGTTCCTCCTGTGAAATGTGCTGATCTGTAATCTGATTACATTTAGATCTCCAGTAAAATCCACTGGGGAGGCGGCACGGTGGCTCAGTTGGTAGAGCTGCTGCCTCTCAGTGATATGGTTGCAGGTTCAAATCCTGGCCGGAGTCCTTTCTGGGTAGAGTTTGCATGTTCTCTCCGTGCTGCGTGGGTTTGCTCCAGGTACTCCAGTTTCCTCCCAAAGACAAAACACATGTTAAACTTACTGGTAACTCTAAATTGTCCCTAGGTGAGAGAGAGAGAGAGAGAGAGAGAGTGAATGGTTGTTTGCCTCGTTTGTGTCCCTCACCTCTCACACAGTGACTGCTGGATATGGACACCAGTGACCCCCGTGACCTGAGAAGGAACTGGATGAATGGATGGATGGATGAATGGATGGATGGATGGATGGATAAATGGATGGATGGATGGATGATTGGATGGATGGATGGACCTGTTCCACCGGCTCCTTGAACAGTTTTTAACCACACCTGGAGGTTTGAAACCGTTTCAAGGACAACAACATTATAAAATGTTTATTTTTCACACAGCCAGCACATTTTCAAGGTTTGTTTTACTAAAAACTTCAACTGTTTTGGAAAAACTTGTTCTACAACTTCTGACTATGTTAGTTTGCAACAGCAGACCGTGTTCGGTCTGGACCAGGTCTCTCTTGTAAACGAGTCCTCGTGGCTCAATGAGACCAGCTGCTAAATAAAGGTTGAATAAAAGTTTATTTCACATCAGCCCACATTTATCAGAACCTTTTCAAACTCTCATCCAGAGCTTTCTGCCACACATTGATATAGTGCACGTGACTCATGGACGAGCACGTTGGGAGGAAGGTTTCTGTGTTTTCAGTGTCATAAAAGCTGACGGGTCAAAGAACCGCTCATTTGTGTGAAAGATCATCTCACTCCTGTGGAAGAAAAATGACCAGGAACTAAATGTTCATCATTGTAGTGTTTGCTAATATTAATATAAAAACTGAACTGGATCTTTGTCAAAGGTTGAAGTAACAACTGTTTTTACGACTTACAGGAAGAACCTCCAACAATAAAGTTCACGGTCAGTCCCAGCTCCCTCCAGGTCTGATTCAAACAGATTATTTATAGAAACTGCCTGGTTAAACACTAGACAACAAATTCAACACTTTACTGTCACTCTACATTCTGTAGAACTAAATTACATCTGAAGCAACAAAACTAAAATTTACTGTAATCAGAGAACATAACTTTGGACCACTCAGCAGCAGTCCCAGGCAAGACGCTTCTGACGCAGTCTCTTGTTCAAAAGTGGCTTGACCTGGGGAATGCGGCACCTGTAGCCCATTTCCTGCACACGCCTGTGCACGGTGGCTCTGGATGTTTCTACTCCAGACTCGGTCCACTGCTTCCGCAGGTCCCCCAAGTCTGGAATCGGCCCTTCTCCACAATCCTCCTCAGGGTCCGGTCACCTCTTCTCGTTGTGCAGCGTTTTCTGCCACACTTTTCCCTTCCCACAGACTTCCCACTGAGGTGCCTTGATACAGCACTCTGGGAACAGCCCATTGATTCAGCAATTTCTTTCTGTGTCTTACCCTCTTGCTTGAGGGTGTCAATGATGGCCTTCTGGACAGCAGCCAGGTCAGCAGTCTTACCAATGATTGCGGTTTTGAGTAATGAACAAGGCTGGGAGTTTTTAAAAGCCTCAGGAATCTTTTGCAGGTGTTTAGAGTTACGTCGTTGATTCAGATGGTTAGGTTAATAGCTTGTTTAGAGAACCTTTTCATGATATGCTCATTTTTTGGGACAGGCATTTTGGGTTTTCATGAGCTGTATGCCGTAATCATCAGTATTAAAACAATTAAAGACCTGAAATATTTCAGTTGGTGTGCAATGAATCTGAAATATATGAAAGTTTCATTTTTATCATTACATTATGGAAAATAATGACCTTTATCACAATGTGCTAATTTTTTGAGAAGGACCTGTATATACCAGATGTTCAGCCTCACTTTCTGACAGAAATGTGTAATTTAAAATAAAATAAATCACATATTTCTCACTTTTACTTTTCATTTACACCCACGCCCCCTGGGGGTGTTTGGGTGTGTGACTGACAGTTCCATGAAGCAGCTGGTGCTGCTCCCTGCTGGACTCTGGAGGTTCTTCTGGGTTTAGTTTTCTGGAAGTTAATAATCAGAACTGCTGGTCTGATGAGAACAGATGTTAAATGATGATCACACAAAGTCAGACTGTTCTTTTTCATTATCTCACACTGGTTCTGTACGTGAGCGAGCTCTTTGAGGATGTTTCATGTGAATGAATCAAACTGGAGTCCAGTGATGCTCTAGGAGTCTGGAGGAGGCACGAAGGGGTTCAAACACAGAACCAGAACCGGACCATGCGTTGAGGCCTCCTCGTGACTCCTGGTGTCTCCCTGAGTTCGATCTTCATCTGCTTTTGTTGCAAAGTCAAACTTTTGTTTGTGGCTTAAATCAAAGTTGTTTGTTTCAGGGAACTCCTCGTGGTCCTGGGTCCAAACCGTCCTGAAACCCGGACATAAAGAGTCAATGTTTTATAAACCTGTCTGATCTGTACGACTTTAAACCAGAGTTAATTCAGTTGATAAACTCTCATTCTGATTTATTTGCAGATGTTCCATCCTTCACGCATCTGATTGAACATGACATTGAGGTGGGTGATGCACAGCCTACAAAACAAGTTTTATCGAGTTAACCCAGAAAAACACAAACATTTGGATGCTGAGGTTGACTACATGTTAAAAATGGCATCGCTCAGGCATCATGTTCAAGCTGGGCTTCACCTTGTTGGGTCCAAAATCAGACAAAACTTTTTGGTTTTGTTCAGATTTCAGAAAAGTCAATAAAATAACCAAACCTGATTCATACCCTTTGCCTCATCTGGTTGATTGAACTGACCAAATTGGTAATGTTAAATTCATCAGTAAGATAGATCTACTAAAGTGACTTTGTTTCTGCAGATCACAATCCTTTGACTTTCTTGAACTCTTTTCGCTGCCCAAATCAGAGACTTGTGAGATGGTCTCTGTTTCTTCAACCTTTTTCCTTGGATCGGTCATATCAAGGGAAGGGATAACGTCATCGCACATGCTTTGTCCAGAGCACTGTGATATTGTAAGTTGTGGTTTTTGTTCTTTCTTCTTCTTTCAGCTGCTCCCGTCTTCAGGGGTCGCCACAGTGAACTAAGTTGCACGAAGACTTGGCAGTTATTTTTACACCAGATGTTCTTCCTGATGCAACAACAGACACCGAGCTACCACAGCCTCTGTGTGGAGCAGAGAGCTGCATCTAGGACACCTGGAGGAGAAGATGGTGGGGGTTAAGGGCCTTGCTCAAAGGACCAGGGTGGGACGAATGAGGGTGGGGCAGTTGTGCGTGCTTCACCTACCCCACCCACATTTTTTGATATCGTCGGTACCGGGGCTTGAACTGGCGATCTTCCAATCACAGGCTCACCTTCTCTAACCTCTGCGCCACCACTCCCTGATATTGTAAGTACATGCAATTTTTTTCTCTCAAGATGTTGGTACTTGTTGAAAAGGGTTCCAGTAGGAACCACCCTGTTTTGAGGGGGGGGGGGGGGGTGTATGGCCCAAGGCTTTCCTCTTGGCCTCTCTAACATGTCTGTGTTTCAGAGCTCCTAACTGGTGTTGACTGGAAGTGGAGGCAGCTGACCAGTGTCTCCAGAAGTGCTTCAGATCCATCTGAAGATCCAACACTAGCTCTCATTTCTCCCCTCTCTCTCTTCTTGATCTTTTTCTCTCCAGCCAGCCATGATTTGTTACATAAATATAATTCTAAGTCATCCCATGTGCTTCTTCCCCTTTATTTGTTATGGTCCTAGAGCCAGGCCGTAGCAAATGTCTCGGTAAATAAACAGAAAATAGATATTTTCTGTCTCTGAGTTCTGTTTGTGTCAGCCAGACTCATTTGAAGCTGACAGTTTGTGAACATCTCTTGCTGTTTCCAGGTTCACACATTATTTTGTTGTCCTCCTCCACCCACTCTGTGCCTGTTTTGACCCACATCTTTATCCCACATTGTACAGGGCTGGCCCCCTCGGGGCCCCTGAAGTCAGAAAATGCCAGGAGTCCTCTGGTTATCAGTCAGCCTGTCGTTCATTTTCTGCAGATTCTGACTTTAGTCACTGCATTTGGACCTTGGCATCAAAACAACCATGACGTAAAATAAAATTGTTAAAGGTTAACCAATAAAACAGATAATTAATAGTTAATTAGTTTGCTGTGGTGACCCCTGAAGAAGGGAGCAGCTGAAAGAAGAAGAAAGAACAAAAAAAACACAACTTACAATATCGCAGTCCAGCTGGGCTGGAGTAATAGAACTTTGGATCCCTTCAAGCCCCATCCCAAAGTCAACAACTGGTACCTTGAAGTGACTTTGGTAGAGACCATCCATCCATCCATCCATTATCTTTATCCGCTTCTTCCAATTTTGGGTCACGGGGGTCGCCGGTGCCCATGTCCAGCAATCACTGTGCGAGGGGTGGGGTACACCCTGGACAGGTCTCCAGTCCATCACAGGGACACATAGAGACAAACGAGACAAACAACCATTCACTCTCTCACTCACACCTAGGGACAATTTAGAGTTACCAATCAGCCTAACATGCATGTTTTTGGTCTGTGGGAGGAAACCGGAGCACCCGGAGAAA